AATAAGTGTAATATTTATTTTACTGAGCACAATATTTGTATAAGAAACAACCTACAAACAGATCAATTCAATAAAGAAAAATATGCTAATTGAATATACAGCATTTTATTATTGAGTCAAAATGTATTCAGGTATACAATAATTGAATAATCAAATGTAAAATAATAGGTTGTTTTCACATGACGTCAGCAGCTATGTTTCCATCCACCTATTTTTATGCGCATTTTGCATAAGTGCATAAAAAAACGGCTGATGGCAACGGCATGATGCGCATAAATTTTGAAAATGCGCATAAAAAACTTATGCGCATAACTGAGTAGGATAAACTTTTTACTCAATAGGTAAAGATGTGCATAAACTGAGATGAAAAACACTTTTATCGCACAAATTTCAGTATGCGCATTAAAAAAGATGAAAGAATGAAGAAAAAGATTGACGCAGCTTCTCCTACCGCAGCAAATTCCATTCTTATTGTTAATATTTGGCGCTAGTTAATCAGGAACTGCCGCTTTTGTTCGCTTTGACTCGTTGGATGGAAACGCTGCTTTATTCGCATGTCTTTTATGCGATAATCCAGTTTTTTTGGATGGAAACATAGCTAATAATGACACGCAAGACTCAGATGGAGGGCAGAAAGTGGTTCTTCTAAATAGAAATCGCTATCAGAACATCAAAATGTTTCTGTTTTATATTGTTTATAATTGTTTAAATCAGCCAAAATGATAAATACCAAATAGCTTTTATGGACTTTCCAAAGTGTTTGCTCATAAAAGGAGGGTAAGTTCAAGAAACTGGCTTGAAAACGTCGGAAAAGGCGGCAGGTAATAAACATTTATTTAATACATCCATGTGTACAAGCTTTTTATTTTGAACGCGATAATTAGTTTGACAGCACCAATAATTAATACAGGCCTAGCTATGTGTATTATATGTTAATGTGATGGATAAAAATCCGATACAAACACCAGCACACTTATACAAAATCCAGGAGAATATAAATAACGTACCCTCCAATAAAATATCAATCTTGTTTTACAATAATCCAAGTCTTTACTGGCGTTTCAGCACAATAAACACCGTAACATAAACATCGACAGAACAAACAAAAAAATGCAGCCCTTGCGAGAAAATTAGATGATTATTATAGCGAAGGACGTTTCCCAGTTACAAAAATAAACAAATAATAATGTAGACGATGCGTCCAGGCTTATGTATGCTTTCATCTGTTTTTTCGAGATGTCTGGAAGATATCCACATGGTGAAAGACTATAGTAATTTATAATAAACATGTTTTTGCACCACATAGTGACGTGATTGTGTACAACATTTTGTTAATGAATGCTACAGAACACTCTAGCATAGTAAACTGATAAACTGAGATAAATGCTGTAACGTTAGTGTAAACTGTGGTGCATTGTGATGGTGTATAATTAAATAACGTAGAAAACTGAAACCTATAGAAAAATTAGTTTATTACTACAGTTGTGTCGTACGACAGCAACTATATAATTACTATGATAGTTTAAGTCAAGTAATTATCTAAAGTAAACTTCAAAACACTATAGTATTTACTATAGTATTTTTTATGTAACGTAATAGCTTATGAAGTACAAGCAAATATATTTGAGTAGAGTAGAAAACTCGGACCATGATATAAGGATCATGCCCAACATATGTGGCTATTTTCTATTCATATCATCTCCTTTAGAATATGGTATAAATCAGCATCCTTCCTCTATGTCTCCCATTTAGTTTTTTACGCGCATCACCAGAACCACGTGATTGAAAACAACCTATACTGCATAGTCCAGGGTTACTGCAGATTTCATGGACTCAAATTTAAGACTTTTTAAAACCCTTTTAAGATCATAAAGAATTAAATTTTAGGCTTATACAGGGTTAAAAAAATTCTAATGGCCCAGTATTATCATGAGGATTCCTGTAATTGTTTTTAGTTTTTTCCTCTGATTAGAGAATTTAATTTGGGGAATTTGCTGTAAACATGTCTAACAGCTGTTATGAACTCACACTTTGCAATTAAAAACTTAAAAATAAATAAAGGTTTTGAGATGTGTTGTTGGTTATTAGATGGATATTGGCCCAAATTGCGTAGCTTTACTTAGGGAAAAAATAAGACCTGTTAAAAACAGTTTAAGACTTACAACACAATATGTCAGTAAATTTAGGACTTTTTAAGGCCTTAATTTTAGGTTTTGAAATGTAGGTCATTTTAAGACCCTGCGGAAAACACAATAGTCTTTCTTTTATAAACAATTTCAAATTAATCGTTATTAATTTCTTAAAAGTTACAAATGATACTTTTTTTTAGGCCTGAATGCTTTTAAAAGCCTCACAGTCACAAGCATCAAAGAACACTTGCGAAATAATAAATAATAATCAAGAGTCAACAACTGAGTGTTCCTAAAAGTCAAACAAAACCTAAAAACCACTGATATTGCAGCCAAATGAATGGATTTCAATGTCCATGTGGAACAAACTGTCCATGAAGATACTCTTTTTTTTTTCATATCTACGAATTTAAAGTAATGCACAAGTGCAAAAGCTTTTATAATTAAGGTATGCTGTGGATAGTTTTATTTTAAAATCCAGAAAAATGTATTATTTAAACTAGGGCTGCACAATATATCATTTCAGCATCAATATCAATGTGATCATTCGCAATAGTCACATCGCTAGTATATGCAACGTTGAGTCTGGATTATAATTTCGCAAGTGTTTTTTTCAATCTAAAATGATAAATTTATCTCATCTAAGTGAAATTGTTTTCATATCGCAGAATAAAAAAAAATTGCAATGTTAGATTTTTACCAATATCATGCAGCCCCTAATTTGGACATCTTTCAGTCATTAATTCAAAGTGTTAAGCATAGATCTCAAACTCAATTCCTCGAGGGCTGCAGCTCTGCATAGTTTTGCTCCAACCGTAATCAAACACAGCTGATCCAACTAATCAAGGTGTTCAAGACTACTAGGCTGCGTCCGAAACCGCCTACTACTCTGTAGGTACTGCATTTGAATGGAAACGTACTACTCGGCCGTTAGAAAAGTACGTTCTATACAGTATGAATGTGAAAAGTATGAATGGAATTCGGACATACTACATCCGCCATTTTGTCATGGTCACGCGACCTACCTGCGTCATTTGCGTCGCTTCACTCCCATTCATGAATTCGCTCGCGGGGCATCATGGGATAGCGCAGCGTGCATGGGATGCGCACTTCAGAATCTCGCGGGAAGTAGTAAGTCATCCGGGTACTTCTCGCATACTGATTTTCGAATTCTATGAATTCGGACATACTACTCGGCTCACATACTGATTTTAGCGTACTATACATGTACATATGGAAGTATGCGGTTTCGGACGCAGCACTAGAGATTACGCAGGTGTGAGTTGGAGGTGGTTGGAGCAAAGCTGTGCAGAGCTGCGGCCCTCCAGGAATTGAGTTTGAGACTTATGGTTTAGAGCAGGGGTCACCAACTCTGGAGAGCTACCTTCCTGCAAAATTCAGCCAAAAGCACCTCAACCAATTAATAGGACCTGAAGCAGCACTTAATAATTACAGACAGGTGTGTTTGTTCAGGGTTGCAACTGAAATCTCCAGAAAGGTAGCTCTTCAGGAACAGGATTGCTGAGCCCTGGTTTAGAGTCGTGTTTTGTCCTGTCACTTGCAGGCAGTCACTGCATTTTCAAAGCTAATATCTTGTAATAAAGAGGTTTTTAGTGCAGTTGTATATTATTTTAATATTACAATTTCTACAGAATGTTGTGACAATCTGCTTTTTATTTACATGATTATAATTAAATTATGATATATTTTAAATTATGTTCACATAGAAAACGGTACGTTTGATGTGGAAAAAAATCATAATAAAACCCAAAACTTTCATTCATTCATTTTCTGTTCAGCTTAGTCCCTTTATTAATCAGGGATGGTCACAGAGGAATGAACCGCCAACTTATCCAGCATATGTCACAACCCAGCACTAGGAAATGTTTAAAAACTTAAAAAGTACAAAAGAAATGTTCTTTGCCTTCAAATGAACATACATAAGCAAGAAAAAGTAGCATTTTCACTGTTATATATATATATATATATATATATATATATATATATATATATATATATATATATATATATATATATATATATAAATATATAAATGTTGTAGAAGCTCTTGGGAAAGTTTAGGACCAACTTTCCCAGTTTAACAAAGCCATAGATTAGACACGACTGACAGAAAAAACACTTCACATCATCTAATTATGGTTGTCTTTAGTTTCAGAAGATGTACATTATTATAAACAAGAGCAAACATTCTTTCTTTCTTTGTTTTTACTTCAGTGGAAACACAAAATACTCTTCCCCCCTGCCTTAGGGGCATTATAAAACTTGACTTACCAGAAAAATATCTGCGAGAAGAGATTAGCCGAGGCTGAGGGGTTGCTTTTGGCATCTTTCTTTATCGGCTCCATATCGCTTGTCATCCTCCCCGCGGTTCAGCCGGACTCTGGTACCCCTCGCATAACCTGTAACCAGCGCAAGACATTTACCTTGTAAACTGTTGTATAACTTTCTAACACGCACATGTCGGTAACTACAGGCTGAGGTAAAACCGTTCATTTCCTACTGTGAGCGTGAGACCAAACCCCGCCCCATCCGAGCAGCGATTGGCTCATTGTCACTCCTGTCAAACCTGATTGGGCGCTAATAAGCAAGACGTACACACATTTATATATACACCTAAGGTCATGTTAACAGATGTGATAAGATTATGAATATGTTATTAATATTAATTAGAGCATAGCTACGTTGCTTAGAAACCCTCCTTGACTGTGGCGTCAAGAGCAATGACTGGTCAAGAGACTTAAGTAATATTGAGTAGCTCGACGTCACCCGCCTAATTATTTATAATCTTCTTGATATCAGCCAATCGGTATGGTGTACGTCACGTCATTTGATTAATATTCATGAGAAGCAGCTTCGCTATAGTAGGTTTTACTTACTGGATGCAGCAATTAGGATGGAACTACAGCATATTTACGGAAAACAGGTGGAGTTGCTGGTAAAAATGATTGTTTATTGTTGTTTTATACACACATTGTTGTTGTTTTTTGACACAAGAGAGCAGGGGAGACGTACATATGAAGCTTTGATTGTGTAATTGTACTTCTGGGTGAGGAGGCTTTTTGTCTACCATCTGTTCTTTATTAGCTCTGCACACACACACACACACACACACACACACACACACACACACACACACACACACACACACACCACTCTGTGTGCTCTAGTGTGCTGGAAGCAATCATCTTTAATTAAAGTGTCCAAACAGAGGAAAGCAAAGAGCAACACAAAGCACATATTTCTTTTTTTAATATATGGAATGCTTTAAAATGAAAACCATTTACCAACGTTAAAACCCAGATGACTATGAAACACAAATGGATGTATTTTTAATGTTAGACTGCTTTTTTTTTCTTTTGTTCATGCATCTAGATGAAATTGTGAATTATTAATAACATTCAAAAACAGTTTTATATTATGTTAGCTTTTAATATACAGTGTGTACTGTATTTAATATGTACAACACTCACATGCATACATTACGAAAGACACAAAATTAAAATATGAATATATAAGTATTAATTATATATATATTTAAACATTTTTAAAACATTATCACATTTAAAAGACTGAAACTTGTAATTTTGGCTATTCAAATGTAAAATTATTGTAAACGCAAGATAAAAACTAATTAAATTCAAGATATAATTGTTTATTAGAATTTTTGTTTGACTTTTAACACAGATTTCTTCATGTAAACAACATACCCACAATAAACCATCAAGATCCTGGCTTGACAGCTATATTTATTACAGAAATTAAAACACAGGCATGTTAATGACATTTGAATTTCAAAACAATCATTGCCAATAAAGAAAAAAAATATTTCCAAGTTGGATTCTAAGTGGACTGCAAAAAAAATGCCAAAATACAGGCATTGCAGATATGGAAAATGGAAAATTATAATAATAAAGTATTGAATACAAACAGTTGCACTCACTGTAAAGTTGTATTGCTGTGAGTTGAGAACATTAATTATAAAGTAGAAACAATTTAGCTTCTTCCTCCTTTACATTCAGCTAGTTGCTAAAACAGTCCAGTCTGTTGACATTATCGGGGGACAATGTGGACCTTTTCTTTTGAATGATGTGAGCTGAGAGTGCAACGCAATCTCACAGCAATTCGTAACTTTTTGATTTAGTGGCTACGGACAACTACATTTTGACAGGTTTGCGCACACACAGATGACACACACAAACAGTTTTGGTTGAAATAAATGTTTTATTTCAGCTAGAATAAAAGCAGATTTAAAAACTTTTAAACACTATTTTAAGGACAACATTTTTTATCCCCTTTAAGCTCATTTAGTTTTTTCGATAGTCTACAGATTAAACCATCTTTATAAAGTAACTTGCCTAATTACCCTAACCTGCCTAGTTAACCTAATTAACCCAGTTAAGCCTTTAAATGTCACTATAAGCTGTATAGAAGTATCTTAAAAAATGTTTAGACAAATATTATCATGGCAAAGATAAAATAAATCAGTTATTAGAAATAAGTTATTAAAACTATTATGTTAAGAAATGTGCTAAAAAAATCTGCTCTCCGTTATATACAATAATAGAATAGAATAGAATATATAGAAATAGAATAAAAATGTAGTCCATTCTTTATCAGCAGCATTAAGTGCATTAATGAGTTTTAAAAAAAAGCATTGGGGATTTCATTCATTTCTGAAAAGCTAATGATTTAATTCATATGTTAATTGAAAATATATCAAATAAATATATAAAGTGAAATAAATGCTTTTTAACAAAACAATAAAAAGGTAATTCATTTAAATTATTTTAATATTAAAAAAAGACTTATATAAGACTTAAGTATTTTAAAGAATTAGGGAGAACCAATAAATGATTAATAATTTGATCACTGCTCCTAAGTCATATATCATAAGACATTTTTTGTATTTTTTATAACAATAAATGTACTACAATCTAATTACAGCGTTTTAAATCCAGTTAAGCAATACAAAATTAAAAGCAAGTCACTACCCAGCACTGTTTGTGAAGTCCTAACTAAAATCATTTAATCACATTTATCAATTAACAATATGTTCACTGATTTGTTTACTTGCGGTGTCTTGAGAGAAATGCATTTGAACCCAAATAATTTCATAGTAATCTCAAAATTATTCTCATGGAACTGTGAGAACCGCATTGAACTACAACCTACTGTATATACATTCGTCCAGTCTCTTCCTTCCTCTCTCGTTCTTGGATTTCCGATACAGATAAAGCACTGAAAGAACAGAAGACGAGAGACCTACTGTACAAAGAGACAGAGCAGGTGGCCGTTACAATGATAAAGGTAATGCTGACAGACACTGAGCCAGAGCCACACACACACATGCTCACACAGACGGGTTTGTTTTAGTTTAATGTGGGGACATTCTCTCCTTGTAAGACCTATGTCATTATACACATGTGTCCTGATATGTCACAAAAACATACACACAAGCAAACATACAAACATGCTCTCTCTCTATTTATGCTATATGATGACTTACAATAAAAGTACTGGCTTTTATAACTGTACAGACTGTATATTCTGTCCTCTTCCCTCAACTCCACACCTAAACAAACCTTTCCCTTACATAAAAGATTCTGCACGTTTTCAATATACTTAATTCTTGACGATTTATGAGTGCTTTTCCTCATGGAGATGTGCGCAAAAGGTCAAAAATTACTGATGGTCCTATACTTGTTGGTCCTCATATCATAATGAATACCAGGCCTGTCTGTATCCTCCAAGGTAAAAGAATCCACCATAGGTAACCTATAAGGGGGAATTACATCATTGCATTATGAATGAATGACTTCCATGCTTTGTCTTTCAAAGAAAGCCTAAGTGTCGAGTCATTATTACTTTGCTAAAAGTCTTAAATCTGAACTTTGCTCCAAAGGCCGAGTTCCAGCAAGGGATTGCGTTTTTCTGCTGCAAGACTGACTCAGGAAAACCAATAAAACCTGGATCAACGGCGTTTCAGTTATGGTAGATTCTGACGATTTTCTTATTTCTGGGAATTTTGTGGTCGGTTGGAAGCCGAATGTTAATTCCAGTGTTAAAACACAGCAGGATCGTGGATAAGCTCTTGTTCTCACAGGCAGTGAGTCATTTATATTACAGAATGGACTCCAGCCTTTTGAATTTAGCTATATATGAAAACAATATGCGAAACAATAAAATATTCTGTTTATATCCAAATTGACATCTGGTTCCATGCTGTACATTTAAAGACCCCTAAAAACAAACAAACAAAAAACACAAAAGTTCTGTTAACACAAAAGAAGTTATATAGAAGAATGCTGGAAACTAGTAGTCATTGATTTCCTAAGTATTTTATTTCCTACTTGATTTCCGAAGTACTTTAGATTTTATGGCTCCTAACAGTATTCAAAATATGTTCATTTTAATAGAAATGAACTCAATTAATCTGATGGTTATCCAAGTACTGGGTTGCAGCTAGAAGGGCATCCTCTGTGTAAAACATATGCTGGATGACAAGGCGGTTCATTCCGCTGTGGCGACCCCAGATGAATAAAGGGACTAAGGAAAATGAATGAACGAATAACCTGGGGCCTCGTGTACGAAGACTTTCGTTGAATTCTTACTTAAACATTGTGCACGAACAAAGCTGTAAATGTGTGTACGCAGTAAAAAATACAGATGTATGAAACACTGGATACGCTGAATCCCGCGCATATTCTCTTTGTACATCCGAGTACGACTTAAAAACCCCTCCCTGCCTCTTCCCCCTAATAAATATGGTAGCTTAACACTTAAGTCTAAAAACACTTACAAATGGATATAAAAAATGTAAGTGTTCCTATCAGTGAATATGTTTTACAGTGTATCTTTGTTAAACGCTGACAGTAACTTTTACACCAAAAAAATGTTTGACAGACTGAACACATAACATTTTCAGATTACCTGAATTTAAGAAAAAAAGGTTAATTTCCCAAAAAACAAAACATTGTTATCAGTTGCGAACCTTTGAGTTTTGTTCTTCTCTTGAATTAAGTGAAAAACATTTAGAAAAATGGGTGAGTTAATTAACATCAGTGGTATTTCTAATCTTTTCTATGAATTTCTATGGAAATGGATTGCTCCCTTTTCTATGGTAATCAACGTTGTTTAAATGGATGGTCCAGAGTTTATTTTTAAGGCTTGGTTGTGTTTATATGATGCAAAGCAATGTGTGTTTATGCTTCACTTGTAGAAAATCATGTTATTTTTTCATATATTTTACTTTGATTATATACAGCTACTTGGCTAACATGAGAACGCCTGTCAAATTTCCTAGTTCCTCAGAAAGGCCCGCCCTAAAAAAGGCTCTGATTGGTCAGCTAACATAATGTGCTGTGATTCGCGGCTTCACGTCATGCTCCTACTGCTCTGTGTAAACTGTCCAGTCAGTGCAGCTTTCAGCAGCGTTAGCTAAATCAAACTGAAAAAAAACACACACAGCTGAAGCTTGCGCCTTCTCTTTAAAAAAAATCTCACAAGTGTCTTTCACTTATATTCGGAATAAGCATGAGTAAGAAAGACAAAATGTTCTCTTATCTTTTGTGAGTTCGTTATTTGATATGTATAATGCAGGAAAAGTGGCTGCATAGAGAGACACTGTAAGCGCTGCTGAAGATCGTGGGTGTTTACAGTAGTTGGACTGATAAATATGTAGCTAAATTGTTAGCAGTGCCGAACAGCATTTCCCCTTGTTTACATCTTTGTTTTCGTCCTCGCTACAACACACCATTAACGCAAAGAAACTGTGCATGTAATTGATAAATTTTAACAAATAAAATTACTTACAGGTTGTGGCTCACAATCCACAGCTTCATCGGTTGGAGAAGTTTTTAGTTGAACCCAGCATTGAACTGGGAGAGATTCTGGAAGCTGTCCTTTGTCAAATGCTAGCTATATCTTTTTTTATAATTCTCTGGAACAGTTAAAACAAAGTAAACTGCAAGCACTTCTCTCTTTGTGCTGTGTCCTTTGGAAGCCCAAATACAGAAACAGAACAAGCTCTGTGGAAATAGCAGCGTTTGGACGCCATTTTAGCTTTCTCTGCTATAACATTACCTCTGGTCACGCCCCATTGCTGCGCGTGAATGTGCATGATAAATGTGCATAACCTGAAGCGTTTGTGATCTCACTAGCCCGGACAGATTTGTTTTGTAGTCCCCAAACTTTATTTGCCGCATGCTTAGCTAAGCTAACTCTGTAATAGCCAATATCTCCCCTTGCATTGAACTTTGAGCATATTACATTCAGAGATGTTTTTCATGTTCACACAGCTACATTACACATCACTTAAAGTTTAAAATATGAGATCGTAGTGGATCACCCCTTTTAAACATCTTGTTTTGTGTTTAGCAGAAGAAATTAACTTCCACACATTTGAAACAACTCGAGCATTTTTGGCTGAATTAGAACTGTTCACTGTAACATTCACTGAGAAACCACAAAACCATTTCATTTCTTTTTTCATAAACACTGTACTGTGATTATGAATGCAAAGGATAGAAAGATGCCAAACTATTAAGCTAAACTCTCTTTGTGCATTGTAAATAATATTTCTCTGGGGATGTAGCTCAAACTATTCCCGTGTAAATACAGTAGGTGGTGCATTGCACATGTACAGACTTGTTCATATATTCAGTCAACTTTTCTGAAGAATGCTATTGCTGAGTCATTCTGATCAACCTTTTTAACCTTATTTAAACTCCCTGTGAGGGTTTAATCTGTAACATCTGCTAAGCAAAAATAAACTTATTTTGCCTGACTCATATCCGTTCTTCACCTGTTTTAAGGAGTCATAGCATAACGTCATGCTGATGTAAGGCCTGTGACCTTTACGCTGGCCGAAGATGAATAACCGCATGCCTCACTCCGCAATCTGAATTATCCTGCCACTTTTCTTCATCTAATTGAACTCGTGTAATTTGTGACAATGTAATTGCCCGTTGGAGGAGATAAGCGCCTTTAATTTGACTGAAATCGTGGATCTCCTCCAGGGAATCAGTGCGGTTGCTATGATGGCGGATATTTAGTTTGACGTTTTCGCTGACCTTGTCACTCGGCAACAGCTCACCTGAAAAACAATCACAGCTTGTTTTGAGTCCTCACCCCTGTGGGTATGAGAGGGGATGTGTTTATGACACACTGAAGTAAAAGAAGCTATTGAGTCGCTTTATTTAGTTTCTTTCCTTAAAGTCCACATGAAATCTTAGACCCAATCTCAATTGTACCCCTTACCCCTACTTTTTATTTTGCGCGTTCATGTGAAGGGCTAGGGGTGTTCCAATTATTTGTTGCTATCTATTGACCTTATTCTAAAATGCGGAAGTGCGCCTGTTTTCGCGATTGTTTTAGAACTTTTATTTAGTCGCCTATGGGAGAAATTACTTGAAACGGCAGAAAACGGTCAAACTACTTGCTCTACAAACACATGTTTGCATGACTATATAGACCAAGTAGAATAATATAATAAGGAAATATCAGTTTGCAACATCAAACAGCGAAACGAGCAGTTTTTAATCTCTAAAAATTAATGGAAGTGAATGAGACCGGAAGTCTCAAGCCAAAAAGATTTAAATAGCTGCGCCCGCCCGTCGGCGAAGAATAAGGTGAATAATCCATAATAATAACTCTTATAAAGTCCACTCAGGCTCATTCTGAAAACGTACCCTTATATACTTTTCTGGAGGGTGCTAAATACATGCCAGGAGCTACATTTTTTTTGCAGTTTTTGTTTTCGTGAATTGATCAGAGGCTGCTGTGTATGTTTTTTGAGATCTTAAATTTCTCTCACGAGTGTCAAACACCCATGGGTCCACAAAGTGGCGCAAATGGATTTGCTATTTAAACAATGTGGTGAAAAACGGGAAAATTAAGGTTGCGCTGGTCTGAAAATAACAACACGTCAGGGCAAACCAAGATGCCTTATCGATACATACATGTCGTGTCTGATAGGGTCCAAAACAATTAAGTTGTTCGAATCAATAAGTATTTTGAAAAAAAAAAAACAAAAAAAAAACAGCAAACATCATTTATTTTTAGTCTAGACTCAAAAAAAAAAATTTGTTGATGCTTGTCTAAACTGCCTAAAATGAGCTGAATCAACACAATTCTAGATTTTTTTTTCAGGACAACTTAATTTTTTTATGTTGAATTCACTTTAATTTGCAAAAACAATTAAGTTACCTTAATTGATTTGTGTTGGGACACCTTGAAGGAAAATTGTGTGGAGCCCTGCAGTTTTTATATGATCGGGAATTATTTTGATAGTGTTATTGTCCCTTAGCACATTTTTAAGTACAATATTTTCAACACAATCGTACGGCAATTCGTAACTTTTTCATTTAGTGGCTAATTCGTATGAATTCGTACGATCTAATTCGTACAATTTAGTACGATTTGCTTTCCCCCAATGACGGTTGGGGTTAGGGGTGGGGTCAGGTGCCACGCCTCCTTTTAAAAATCGTACCATTTCGTACGACTAACCTCATACGAATTCGTACGAATTAGCCACTAAACTGGCAAAACGTAAAATACTTACGTTTTTACGTGAGATCAGGCTGTTTTTTTTGTGTAAACATACCTTTTTAAAATAGCAACCACTGCAAAATATTAGCATCAGTCACTGAATTAACCTTTTACTCACAGTTTTGTGGAAATGTAGATATATTTACATGCATTTTTGCAGTTTTATTACATTCCTGAGATGATGTTGTTGTTTTGTTGACCTAATATGTCATCCAATTAAATGTTCACTGTAACTGATACTACCTGCAAACATTACATAATTGTCATTTGCGTGTTCTTGGCAGAGTCGAGCAGCTGCTGACTGAAGAAGCCTCTGTGTTTTGGTCAGGTCGGGTTATGTTGTGTCTCCTCTGCAGGGAACCGAGGGAAACCATCAGCAGATCTGAGGCTGCAAACAGGCAGTGGGATCCGTCTGACCTTCACTTTAACTGATACCTCCTGCTTAAACACAAACAAACACATCTATCCTTTAAATACACTTGAAGAATAGCCCAGTTTTATCAAGCAGCAGTAAAACACCGGTGACATTTTGTTAAAGCAAAGATCTGTTATTTTAAGCTCAAGCTGAAGGGAGCTCACGGGAAGCAGTGTGTGGATATTTTACATTCTCCTCTGTGAGTTCTTGAGGCACTCTTGCTATGTACAATTTCAAAATGTGTTATAAAAATGTAACCGGACCAGTCAAAAACATGAGTAGCAATGCACTGTGAGGTAAAACCCAGAGCTTAAGGTTTACACTGTTTCCATATTTAGTGATTCACAAGTGTTTTCCATTTATTTACGGTTGTAAATTGCATTATGTTGATGTTGGGATGATGGGATGTTGATCTCTGCTCTGTCGACTTTAGATGTTGAAAACTTTACTTCACACTTTAGCAAAGAGACTTCTATTGACATTTTAGTAGTTTTGATATAATGTATTAGAAATAATATATAGAAGAATAAGTCTGTAAAATAACAGAAAATGTACTTTATTACAGGGTGTTTGTTTTATGCAACACCAACCCAGACAATACATCACTTTAAACTATTAAAAATGTGATCCCACTTTATATTAAGTGTCCCTAACTACTATGTACTTACATCAAAAAAATAAATACAATGTACTTACTGTGTTTATGATGTATTTGAGAACACTTGTGGTGCTTTTGGGTTGGAAAAGAGGTTGGGTTATGGACAGGTTTGGTGGCATGGGTAGGTTTAAGGGTGGGTTAAGGTGTAAGGGATGGTCAACAGTGTATTTACAAATGTAATTACAAAAGGTAATTACAGATGTAATTACATACATGTATTTAATCAAGCATAAGTACACAGTGAATACATGTATTTACACAATTAGTACATTGTAACAAACTATTAGTTCCTATGTAAGTACATATTAGTTAAGGCCACTTAATATAAAGTGGAACCAAAAATGTTAATAAAAGTCCATTTTCAAGCTTTTTTTTTTAAGGTTAAACATTGTTAGAAGAAAGATTAAGGTCCCATAATGCAATTCAAAAGCATAAAAAACATGAATCTCAAAATACGGTTAATTTACAGATATTTTTTACAGTGTGCATAATATAATATTTATATAAAAAAAGTCACAGTCTATCAAAATTCTTTCCTCTAGATGGCAACAAAAGTCACAAATTAGAATTTTAGATCAACTTTGGATCAAATTGGGTTATAGTCAGGACTAAAACTAAAACCATTTTTGTTGCTTTCAATAAATTATAGGCCTAAGTTATCCTATACTTCAGTTAATTGTAACTGCCAGGCCTGGCTCTCTCAGTGACTACGTTTACATGGACACCAATAATTTAATTTTAATGCTATAAAGACAACACTCTGATTAAGAGTTAACCATGTAAACAGCTACTTTTGATTAATTTATTCAGATTAAGGTCATAATCGAACTAAAGAGTAATCGAATTAAGACGTTTGGAGTATGCCGATATTAGTCGCATTATTGAAGTTCATTACTGACATGTAAACACCTTATGTAGGACTTTTCACCGCGTTTTGCGTCAGGATAGTCTGTGCACGCGGCTGTTTGACACACTTTGCAAATTGCACCTACCCAGTCAGTACAGACCACAGACACCTGCATCGTGGAATGCAGAGTTTTTTTTTCCTCCATTCAGGATGCGGTATGAACTTTCATTAAAACTTTATTCCAGCAGTTCATAGTTGCATCCATTTTCTCATTTGTCACGGAGAGCATGCATGAAACGTTCGTGATTGAAAGTGAAAGTGCCAAACTGCAGTTAAAGTCAACAAATTAAAAATGAAACACCCGAAATTACATGAAACTCCAGAGGAAATGCGGATAGCGTGGTGATGAATGGGTTGAAGTGCTATAACATGTAAAACGGGATCATGAAATGAACACTCAAAAAGCAACTGATGTAAACAGCTTAGTCTTATTTTATCTCACAGTCACCCCGATCTCTCTGATCACCCTCACCTGAGTCTTGATTAGCCCTGGATGTCATCCTCAGGCATTCACGCTAGACCATAAAACTGGCCTCGCCAATAGACAGAAGGACCAACGCTCATGGTCAAAGTTTTCATATAGCGCTTCCCGTTTTCCACATTTTTTTATGTTATAGCCTTCTTCCAAAATAAATTAAATGCATTTATTCCCTCAAACTTCTACACACAATACCCCATAATGACTACACTGTAAAAAAAATTCCGTTGTTTTTACAAAAAAAATTTGACAGCTGTGGTTGCCAGAATAATTTTGTAAAAAATACAATAAAATTGTAAACCGGTTTACAATTTAAAACTGTTTATGTACAGAATAATTATGTAAAAAACTATTTAATAATATGTAAAATTTACAGAAATTTTGTGTAAGAAATAATTAAATTTTTTGTATTTTAACAAAAAAATCTTGTTGTTTTTACAAAAAAAAATTGGCAGCTGTGGTTGCCAGAATAATTTTGTAAAAAATACAATAAAATTGTAAACCGGTTTACAATTTAAAACTGTTTATGTACAGAATAATTATGTAAAAACAAATTAATATTATGTAAAATTTACAAAAAGTTTGTGTAAGAAATAATTACATTTTTACAATTTAAAACTGTTGAACATATAGAATTACTAATCTGGCAGCTGTGGTTGCTACGATAATTATGTAACAAAAATACATTGTAAAATGTAAACAACTTAACAGCATAAAATCATCACTTTAGTTAATTGTGTTTATTCATAATTATCAAAAACTAAACAAGTAAATCTTTTCTGAAATGGCACAACTACACCTAAACCAATTATTTTGGGAAGACCACTGTTGTTTCGTATACTGAACATAGTTTGATTTCTGTAAAAAAGGCTGCAGCTTATAAGTGCAATTCTAACCTCTGTCTTTTGTCCTTTATGATGAGGCACCCCGCATACACCAGAACACGTTACCTGAGCCAATCAGCGTCCAGGATCTGTGACTACGCAATCTTCCCCACCCAAACAGATTTTTAGTTTCTAGTGTAGCGAGACACATAGACGGATGCTAAAGTTTGCGAGGAATAGATCACGGACTGTTTTCATCATTGTTTGTCAGCGGTTGCCACAAGTGTTGTGCGTGAATGCAGAAAAAAACACAACACAAGTGTCATAAGTCAAGTCTGTTGAGTGGTGACAATAAATGGGTTGTTCACACAAACGTTCATCTTCGCCTCATCTCTAATCGGATAGTCTCTGGTGGGTCAGCAATCAGAACTGGCAATTAAAAAGTCTATGGTGCAGAACTACTAAAAGCCAACCATTTTTTCATGGTCCTTCGAGCCGGAGCGAGGACTGACCAGAGAAATAGAAGATGTCACAACATTCAGGGGATGAGCCCGCTGTGCGCGTCAGGAGGAAGTCAGTCCTCCCCGCACGTTATGATGAGTACGACCTCACTGGATTCACTCTCCCTAAGCCTGTTCCACCGCCCCTGTCACCACTCACTCATTCACCTAGACTGGCTGAATGCGATGATACACAGGATGGAGCATTTGGTTTTACTCCAGTCCTACCCGGTCATGAAGCTGACAGCCCATCACAGTGGTCTGATGATGAAGGAGCTTCTGATATCGTAGCAAGAGAAAATGCGAAACTACACAACAGTCTGTGGACGATACAGCAAGAAAGGGACATATTCCAGCGTGCAAATGAACAATATGCAAAGGAGCTCACTCAGCTCCAGCACCAAATGAGACAGCTACAGTTTCATATGGGGCAGCAAAGACATGAAAGTCAGCCCCCTGCACCTGTTGCCCCTCCAAGGCAGTATACCTCCACCCATGCTGTACCTGCACCCCGTGTCTGGCCACAGGGGGGCACTAACGACATGAGCTTCACCCCTACACCCGCTCCACGACTCAAATATCAGTCTGAGTATAAAGCAAGGGACCAGATTAGAAGCCTACCTCACAGTTCTGCCCTCAGAGGGAACTTGTCATACCACTATGTGCCTCAAGGAGATCAAAGCCTGAATGCTCATTATTCAAATCCTCCTTATTGGCACTTGCAAGATCCTGTGAGACATCCACAGATCCCGTTTAGGACACAAACTCCATCACCTCCACCTGAACAAGGACCATACCGCGGTCCAACCCCCATGATTCCTGACTTTAGCCATCCCAGCCCTAGAGAGTTCTCACGGCTAAAAATTGCTCTGGAAAATATACTCCCAGCCAATGCTACAGAAAGTTTCAAATTTCAGATACTGACTGACCATCTGAAGTTAGAGGAGGCTCTGCTAATAGCAGACTCATACTGCCATTCACAACATCCCTACACAAGGACGATGGCTGCCTTAGATCAGCAGTATGGACAGCCGCATCAACTTGCACTGCAGCGGATTGCTGAGTTAATGGATGGCCCAAATATAGCTAGTGGAGATCAGAAGGCCTTTAGACTTTTCGCCCTTAAAGTTCGTTCTCTGGTTGGCATGCTGGAGCAGTTGGGCAGAAATGGCTCCTTTGAGTTGCAGTGTGGGTCTCATGTGTCTCGGCTCCTTGGGAAGCTTCCACATGACTTAAGATCAGGGTTTCGGAGATATGCACATCCACATCAAGTGCCCATCCCTACCCTCTTAGATTTCGCAGAATGGCTAGATTTCGAAATCCAAGTTCAAGAGGACACCACAAGGTTTGCGAGCAGTCAACGCAGAATGCCCCAAACACGCACAAGAGAGAACTTAAGAGACTATAAACCAGCCATTAAACCCACCACAATCTATCTGGGCACGGAGAAAGCAACTGTTGAGCCTATACCGCCTATTCCATTATCTAGGAGCTCTTTGAAGCCTTACTGCCCCTATTGCGACAACAGTAAGCACTCTCTCAATAACTGCAGCAACTTTAAGCAACTTGCTAAAGACCAGAAACAAAGCTGGATCAAAGAAAATAATAGATGCTGGCGTTGTGGCAGAACACATAAATCTGCAGATTGCAACCTGAAGATCCGTTGCAGACAGTGCAGCAGCCGACACCTTATGGCACTGCATGAAATCAGTGTTGGAAGGCCTGAAAACCCAAAGCTCACTCAGGATGAATCTGCAGACCCAAAGACTTGTCTGTTGAACACAATGCAGGAGATTCTCCTTGTTCATAAACCACCAACTAGTAGGAAAGTCCTACTTAAAATCTGCCGGGTGATTCTCAGTAATGGAAGCAAAAAGATGAATGCCTATGCAATTCAGGATGATGGATCTGAGAGAACCATAATCCTCCATAGTGCAGCTCAACA